TGTCCACTGATGTAGTCACTCCATCATAGAAGGCCACTAGCTTAGTCAGGCAGGCCTTGCCCTTGCTGAAGCCATGCTGGCTGTCTCAAATCACCTCCCTGTCCTCCATGTGCCTTAGCATAGCTTCCAGGAGGATCTGTTCCATGATCTTCCCAGGCACAGAGGTGAGACTGACTGGCCTGTAGTAGTTCCCCAGGTCTTCCTTTTTTCCCTTTTTAAAAATGGGGGTTATGTTTCCCCTTTTCCAGTCAGTGGGAACTTCACCGGACTGCCACGACTTCTCAAATACGATGGATAGTGGCTTAGCAACTTCATCCGCCAGTTCCTTCAGGACCCGCGGATGGATCTCATCGGGTCCCATGGACTTGTGCACCTTCAGGTGCCTTAGATGGTCTCGAACCTGATGTTCTCGCACAGCGGGCAGCTCTTCATTCTCCCAGTCCCTGCCTTTGCCTTCTGCGGCTTGGGCGGTGAGGCTCGAGCACTTGCCGGTGAAGACCTGTGATTATATATATCCTGTGATTTTTAAATAAGCCGTAATTGGAATTGCATTAGCCTCAAAGCAAGATGAAACATCTTTGGAAACACAGAATTGAAATGTTAGCATTCTAATGTCACGGGAGAAGGCGGCTGGGACCTGTCATTCAGGGTAATTTTTTGCAGGAAAATATGTACAGAATATTTTAATGGCTTATTTAGACTGCCAAACAGAAAAGAATTTTTACAATCCAACTATTTTTTGTTTAATATAGATTATTCACTTAGAGTGAATGAAAAATCACCAGAATAGCAATAACAACAAAAAAGTGGTAGAAAAGACACATGCCTGCAAGGCCACCCAAGAATGACCAAGAACACTCAGTTGGATGTAGAGAGCAAAAGTAAGGCAGCAATACAAATGCTTACCTGTAGGGTTCACATGCACGTTGCTTCCAGGTTGCAATTGTGTCCAAGAGGTTTTCCTCCCTGGCTGGGGAGCTGGCTGCATTGCTCTGGTCCAGAGGGTGCTCATATAGGTGAGCGTTGTGGATGGGGTTAGAGCACTGTAGGCAAAGCACAAAGCACAGGACCATTGAAGGTCAATGAATTCTGCAGCCTGCGACCTTGCAGAAAATGCCCTGTCTCTATTTCTGTACATTGAAGTTTAGGAATTTTTACTTATGTATCTTAGTTGACTCCATCATTTGTGAAAGAGGCTCTAGACCGTGTACAGCTTAAATGTGAAGTGCATTAGAAGGCAGTGCCATCTATCATTGTACTTGGGGAGCTCCAAATATTCATGTGGTGCATCAGAGAGTATAAAAAGTCACTGAAGAATGTACAGCCTAAATTAAAATGTGAATCATAGTTGGTGTTGGAAAGGACCTCTGGAGAACATCTAGTCCAACCCCCCTGCTCAAGCAGGGTGAGCTAGAGCAGATTGCCCAGGACATGCCTAGCTGGGTTTTGAAAGTTTCCAAGGATGGAGACTCCACAACTTTTCTTGACAACCTGCTCCATGGTTAAATAATGCTTACAGTAAAACCAAAACAAAACTAAAAACTTACATTTAAATGAAATTTCTTGTATTTAAATTTTTTCCCATTGCATCTTGTCCTGTCACAGGGCACTGCTGAGAAGAGTCTGGTTCCATCTTTACTCCCCCATCAGTTATTTATATACCCTGATGAGATCCTCCTGCATCTTCTCTTGTCTAGGCTGAACGGTCCAAGCTCTCTCAGTCTTTTCTCGTATGAGAGGTGCTCCAGTCCCTTAATCATCTTTGGGGCCATTTATGGGACTGTTTTCTAGTATGTCCATGTCTTTCTTGTACTGGGGCGCCCAGACCTGGACATAGCGCTCCATATGTGGCCTCACCAGTGCTGAGTAGAGGGGGAGGATCACCTCCCTCAACCTGCTGGTGATGCTCTTCCTAATGCAGCCCAGGACGCTATCGGCTGCCTTTGCTGTGAGGGCGCATTGCTGGCTCATGTTCAGCTTGGTGTCCACCAGGACCTTGAGGTCCTTTTCTGCCAAGCTGCTTTCCAGCTGGGTGGCCCCCAGCATGTACTGGTGCCTGGGGTTGTTCCTCCCCAGGTGCAGGGCTTGGTATTTCCCTTTGTTGAACTTGGTGATGTTCCTCTGTGCCCATTTCTCCAGCCTTTCCAGGTCCCTCTGAGCCCAGCACATCTATCTTGTGTATCAACCACTCCTCCGAGTTTTACACCGTCAGTGACTGGCCTCCAGCTGGACTTTGTGTTGCTGATCACAACCCTTTGAGCCTGGCAGTTGAGCCAATTTTCAGTCCACCTCACTGTTTCCCATTTAGCCCATACTAAATAAGTTTGTCTGTGAGGATGAAATGGGAGACAGTGTTGAAAACCTTTCTGAAGTCAAGAGAAACAACATCTATTGCTCTCCCCTCACCCACCAAGCCAGTCTCATTGCAGAAGGCTGTCAGGTTGGTTAACCACAATTTCCCCTTCCTAAGTCTATGCTGACAAGTCCCCATCATCTTCTTGGCTTTCATGTGTTTGGAGATGGTTTTCAGGAGGATTTGCTCGATTGCTTTCCCAGGGACTGAGGTGAGGTTGACCAACCTGTCATTCCTCAGACCGACCTTCCTGCCCTTTTTGAAGATAGGAGTGTCATTTACTTTCTTACAGTCTTTGGGAACTTCCCCCGATTGCAGTGACCTTTCAGAGATAAGTGGCCTTGCAGTGACGTTGGCCAGCTCCCTCAGCACCCGTCGGTGCATCCTGTCAGCTCCTATGGGTTTGTGTACATCCAGTTTGTTTAAATGTTCCCTAGCCTGATCCTCCTCCTCCTCCGAGGGTAAATCTTCCTCGCTACAGACTTTCCCACTGGCCTCCCAATGGCCTGAAGGCCAGTCTTACCAGTAAAGACTGAGGTGGAGAAGACATTCAGTACCTCAGCCTTTTGCATGTCCTGCGTCACCAGGTCGCCTGCCCCATTCAGCAGCAGGCCCACATTTTCCCTAGTCTTCCTTTTGTTGCTGATACACTTGGAGAAGCCCTTCTTCTTGTCCTTCACATCCCTTGCTAGATTCAACTCCAGGTGGTCTTTGGCTCTCCTAACCCATCCCTGCGTGCTCAGTCTATGTCCCTGTTCCTCCTGGGGCATCTGTTCCTGCTTCCACCTCTTGTGTGCTTCCCTTCTTGCGTTTGAGTTTAGTCAGGAGCTCCTTGCACATCCGTGCAGGCCTCCACTGTGTGGATCTTGCTCATATTCCAGGATATATTATAGCGTACCATGTGACATACAGCAGCCAAGTACTATGCCTCAATATGTTTGATCATTTTTATTATTATCTTTATCTCCTTTCCATAGCCTTTTCCTCTCCAGTTTGTAGCTATTGATTTTTTTGGTCGTTAGTTTTGTAGGAGATCAAACGTTGAGCAGGAGATTACCTGATGGAACAGAAAGAGGCAAAGGAGGTTTTACTATCAGGACAAAATGAAAGAAAAGATGAAGGTGGGAGGGAAAAATGGACAGTCAGTCTGAAAGCCTGAAAAGAGGGGTAGACTACGTGGAAACAATGTTGATGAGTAGGTCTAGAAACAGATCAAATTAAAGTCTTCAGGTTGGGAAAACTGTGAGACTGAACTTGCTGTGGAAGATGAGGGGAAAGCCAGCAAAAAGCTTCAAAACAGGGAGGTGAGGTTAAGAGGAGCATGGAGAAGAAGTGGAGAAAGGCAGTCATAAACACAGGGATAAGAAGTTAATGAGTGAGATCAGATAAGATCTGCAGTTGGATAATAAACATAATTAACTGAAACGCTTTACTCTTAATGATGTTGATTTGAATTTGTGGACTTCATCATCACATAATGCTGAATTCAGTCATAATGCTTCACCTCCGTGTAGACTTCCATCCATGGTGGATGCAGAGTGGGTCTGAAGGCTGTGCCCCATGCAGATGGAGTTATGTCCCCCGCGGGGGTGCCCGGGGGGGTACCACACGTCGGCTGCACAGCACCCTGCTTAGATGCAAGAGGGCTCTCCAGATCCTCACTTTGCACCAGGTGTTTCTTGTTATGTCTGACTCTTGGACGCAGACAGATGAGCAGGTCCTGTAGATCAGGGTGTGTAATCCAGAAATGTGCTGAAGGAGAGATGGGGAGAGTGTTGGGAAGCCTCATGCAACGTAGGTGCAACAAAGCCGGGAACAAGGAATAGGCAGAGCGAGAGCTATCCTGCAAAATACCCTGTTGGCACTAGCTAATCTTGTGACCATAAGCTGTTTGTAGGTATTTTGTGCCTTGTCCTCTTTTTTCACTTTTGTTCCCTATTTCCACATGCTGATGTCAAGATAGGCATAATCTGCATATCCTAAAAAGAGCTAAATATCAGCCTGTGTTTAAAAAACAAAAGTAAAAATTCTGATTTCTAGGTAAATCTTCCTTTCCTTTCTAAAGGTTTGTAAGAATTATTTACACTATAAAACTTGAAAGTAATATTTTATATGAGAAGATTTTACAGAATGCCACCATATCAGCCGTAAGTTTGATCTTACTGTGGAAGTATACATAAATGTATATGCCTGTGTACTATGCCGAAATACTTTCTTTTAAAAAAATGAATAATGCTGGACTAGTATCATAACTCACACGTTAATGTTAGCTTATGAACTGAGAGCAGTATTTTTACTCCCTGCTCCTGAAGCTAGTACTGAAGGTTGTAGCAAAATTTAGAAAATATGTTTTAAATTCTGAAAGACTTTTTTCCCTCTCAATGTAATGTGGTAAGTTACAAGGAGAAAAAAAAAAATCTACAAAAATGACCCAGCTGTAGGGGGAAAAAAAAGGAATTAATGATAAGTTAGTGTAACTAGACATATTACTTATTCTGCTTTGTATTGGAAAAGGAGAACCTCTCTCATTTTGAACCCCAAATCTCTCGAATGACGCTCTTCTCTTAATTAAAGGACCCTCACCTTGCAAGCACTAATATTAATAGCATTTGTAATGCATTACAACTTTCACTAGTGCTTTGTATGTGAAAATGTAGCCTTCCAAATTGATTTTTCCGCTTTAAAATGTGACTTAACTAACTTATCAGGAATTCTTATAGGCGTATCCTTACAACTTTCTGCATCTCTGTGAAGTGTTTATATGATGCTTAATAGTGTCTGCAAGCTGCTGTTTTACTCAACTTTCCTGAATTTCAAACATCTATATTTTACTCTCTTATATGCTTTTAACTAAGGTATAGTAGATGCATTTTTGCTTCGGTACTAATTCGAAATGTAATATTCATTTCTTTAGAAGACATTTTTGTTGTTGTGCATGCCTAGTGTTTTGTATGTTGTATATTGCATTCAGAATATTTTTTTCCTTCTCACCTATCCACAAATGCAATGCCGTTCCCATGATGCACCTCTGCTTGCTGTTTACCTGTATGTTAATTCGCTTGAATCCCATTGGCCCACTGCCATCATGTGCTCGCTGCCTGTTATTAAAAGACTCAGTCGACTGCCAAAGCAATGAAGCGACCTCTCGAAGCAACTGTAGACCTGGTACTTTGACCTTTCACCTTTTGCTTTGCATGTAGCTTTTTTTTTTATTATTATTATTATTTTTTTTTTTTTTCCAGAGAAGCAACTAATGAAATTTGTATCGCTTTACTTTTGAACATCAGCCGGAAATTATTTCACATACTCGTTAATTTACCGGAAACTCTATTTATCCATCTCATTCTCATACGTAATAAACGCAGACGATTTAGTTTGGTTCCTAACATGGTTTCATTTTTTTAAATATCCTCTCATGAAAAGTCGAATTGAGATAAAACTGCTTCTGTAATTGAAAACGCCTAACGTAATCCATTAATCTGTATAATAATAGGAAACGATATTTAAATTAAAAAAAGAAAATACTTGGCAATGAAACACAAGTGGTTTTTTCTCCCTATAATATTTGAAAACCTATTTAAAGGCAATGCCATTTTTGTTGCTTTAAAGGCCTTTCTTTTCAGTAGTTGTGCCGCTACAGTTTTAGGTTAATAGTACCATGCTTTTGCTATCAATAACAAAATTTCACTCATTTTACATTGCTGTGCTTTGAGTTAATATGCATGGCGAGGCATCTTTAGCCGCTTTAAAAAATAATAAGTTTTTGTATTTATGTATATGTTACAGACAACGTCTTAAAAATGGCGCCATTTTAACTAACTTTCTTATTTACAGGCCTTTCCTCCTGGTGTTCTTCACCCTTTACCAAAGAGACAAGCACTTGAAAAAAGCAATGGTGCCAGTGCCGTTTTCAATCCCAGTGTCTTGCACTATCAACAGGCTCTTGCCAATGCTCAGTTGCAGCAACACGCAGCGTTTATCCCAACAGGTATGTTGTACCCACATTGAACCAGTTTTGTGTTCCTTAGGTAGCCTCCGTGTCAGGCGGTTGCACTTAACAGAAGGTTTTATTATGCTCCCTGCCCTACTCGAGGTGAAGCCTGCACGGATATTTACACGCTATTTTAATTCCTCCTGCAAAGTACGAGAATCGAAGCAGAAATTTCAACGTGCCGTTAGGCTGCTTTTCACATGCATAGCCTCGTTCACCATTGTCCAGAGTTTGCCCCCTTTTTCCTACCTTAAATTGGCTGTATTTTGACTTTTATCTGCCAGCGCTCTCCTAGGAGACGAGAGGGCAAAGTTCCGCTAACAAAAATGCTGGGAAAAGCATGGTGCTTCAGAGATGCCACGGGAAGTGTGCCGGGGCCGAGGCGCATCCTCCTGCTCCCTCGGGTGCTGTTTTGCAGCCGTGGGGATTGCCCCAGCCGCGCACGAGCAGAGCGAGAAGGGGAGCACCAGCCATAACCTTCCAGTCGATACCTGCATGGAAGCACTGGCAAAACACATCGCTCCCCGCAGCTGCACTAAAGGGCTTTGAGGCATCAGATGAGTTTTCGTGGTTTTCATTTTGGAACGCCACCAGAACTTTTCCTAGCATTTGTGGCTAATAGCTCTGGTTATAATTCTTCATAGGGGTGATCTGAAAACAAGTGAACGTAATTTGCATTTTAGTGCTCGGAACTCTCTAAAAATCAAAGCATTCAGAGGTGGCTTGAACTGCACCGTGGCTGGTGGCAGGGCTTCTCTTTAACACTGCGAAAGAAAGAATGGGCTAGGTACTCGTGTAAACAATAACAACATAACCCTCTAGATTATGTCAGTCACCCCCACTCCAAACTTCCCAAAGGTAGATATCCTGCCTAATGAATTCTGTGATTTCATTTGTAATTAACAAATTACATATTTTAGTATTGGAATGTTATCGAGTGTGAACTTCCAGAATCGTTTAAAACTATGTGTTTGCAAATGCGCTTGACATTTCAGCAATGTTATTTTAGTTTATAGAAATAATGTCGGTTAAACAAGGAATGAAACGCAACACACGATGATTTCCCGATCTATCAGCATTCCCATATGTTTTTAAAGATAAAAACAAACACAGATGGCTTTGACTTTATGGAATTTTGCTATAAGGCCTGAGTAACAACCTTGGAGCCTGCCCCTGTATTTATAATAGTAAGTTATAGCATGCCATATTTTTAGCACATTGGTGCACCAGAATATCTGTGGCAGAAAACATACTGACATTTATGGGAGTGTTTGAAAAAAATAAATAAATTGTGAGACTGCCTATTTGGACGTGAATGGAAGATTGCCCTGTGCTTACAAACGTACGAAATATCCACAAATTTATTTTCCATTGTAACACTGAGAATTTGCAGTATGATACGCATTATTCCTTCTCTTAAGCACTCCCTTTCAGGGCCTATCGCTATTATTTGCAATTGCCAAGGATTTAAATTAACTATGGAAAATACAGTAGTTTAAACCTTTTTCAGTGAAATAGCATTTGGATATTTTCCAGACTTTTGGAGTGCTCGTGATTCCTTAAGTAGCTCATTCTTTGCGCATTTTATTGTCCATCCCTCTTTCCAACTAATGGTTGTAATTATAGTTTCATCTTACAAATTTCTGACGGTAGGAAGGGTGGATCTTGGAACCAAACCTTAAGGGCCAGGTTGTTGGCAAGCCCCAAAACAAGTGCATGAAAGAAGAAGAACCAGAGGGATGACATAGCAGATGGAGCCCAGGCCCAGAGTGGAAAACCTTTCTCACGGTGCTGAGCCTGCTCTTTGTGCACACCGTCAGCACCTAGAAAGGATGTTAGAGAGAGGAGTGGGGTATGGGAGGAGGTTAGGAAAGGAGAACCCGCTCTACATGAGTGGGTGTCATGAGCTTTTCATTAAAGATGCTGGGTCTGATATTCCCATCTTTCCTGGGAAGGTTGGATTTGGTGGGTGTAAGGACTGTCATGCCACCCAGGTCTCAGGAGCAATGCATGACATTATCTGTTGGATTTTAAATGATTATGTGATATTTTCTGAACTGGTATAATTTTCAAATGTGTTCCTTGTGTCTGTGCGTGTGTGAAGTTAAATTTTAAGACAAGTTTTGCTGCTGGAATATATATAAAACTTAATTGTTTTATATAACTTCTCTGCTTTCTTAACAACTTGCTCCCCTAATAAAAAGTGTGGGGCTTGACTTAGCATGGCTTACCTCCAAAGTTCTGCACTTTGTTTGTTTTACATCAGTTTGATCGCTTTGTCACCTTCTCCTTATTGTTTGGTGAATGATCTTAAAAACAACAGATCTTTTCTTTCTTCCCATTGCTGTTTGTTAGTGTTTCTATAGCCTCCAGAGGAGGAACTTTGTGTATTCTCCGGGGACTGTTCTTGGGTAAGGTCATTCATAGTTACACTGCTACTGCAATGGTCCGATAAGGGGCTGCTGTAGTAATTAAGCAGGAATACAGGAAGCATATTTGACTTTGTATCAAATATGCATGTACCTGGGACTAGTTTCCTTACACGCTCACCTTCACCAGCTTGCTATATGCACTGTACCGAAAATAGGCTGGTTTGTTTTGTTTTTTTTTTTTTTTTTGGTCTTCCCAGAAAGGTTAAAGGTGGACTAGGCACCAAGCGTAAACTCCACGGCAGGTGAGCAGTCCTTCCAGAGCATCTTTGAGGTGCACTGGGAGCCTTTTGCTGGAACATTACACACTTTGAGGTGTTTAGCTTGGGGAATTGCCACAGTAGCGTTTTCTTTGGTCAGAAGCACCTCTCCACCTCAGGTGTTGTGTTAAGAACAAGCACATTAAATTTGGCAAAGCCTCCACAGAACAATATCGGCTAATTCCATTTTAACTTCTTTCTCTGCTGCACATCAAAAAGTTGGTGAAAGTTGATCTGTGCAACATTGAGCTGTCTGAATTATGCAATGAGTTCTAAAATTCCCAAAGATGTGTGATATTTAACCAAAGATGTTTCTATAAACAAAAACCTGTTGCTGCAAAAGTACTAAGTGAAAAGATAAAAGTACTAAATAAAAAAGTTTATGAAGTATCTTGTATATACACAGAAACATGCCAAAAGTTACACAGTATACTCAGGTAGGAGTTTAGTAAGAACATAATCACCTTTTTTGTGTTAAAGCAGAACTATGAATGACCTTACAGTTTCATTTAACTAACTTACTTCTCTGTGGTTATGCTTGAATCTCACTTTGAATGTTAACTCTAAATGGCTAACCTGTTTCTTCCCTTTATCCACTTTTTTCACCTATCATTGCATGACACGCAGGGTCAGTTTTGTGCATGACACCCGCTACCAGTATTGGTAGGTTCCAAATTTCTTTATTGATCTCTTTTTATACTGTATATGATGTGTATTCACTTGTTTCAAAATTCCTAGGCAAGATTTAGACAATGACTAGAATTAAAGGTTCGCTTGTCCTTCTGGTTGACTTTGTAGAGTGTTTAGATTTGTAGATGAAAGCTGCAGTTTAGATGTGATATCACCTGCTATAACAACTACACTGCAAAAGCATAATACCATGAATCCGGTCTGCTTTTCAGTTTTCAAAGTTTTATTTCTCTTTGTATTTTATATTGTCTAGTACTATAAAATCATAAAATACTGGAAAAAGCCAGCATATTTCATCAGTGTTTTAAAGTTTCATAGTGGTGTGCCTATTTCTCCTTTTTGCTGTGTGTTAGAAAGTTTTATCAGCGTTTCCCAGAAATGGCTACTTTGATCCACAGAGGTTCTGTTGAAACCCGTGATCTGAATCTCGCTCCTCCTTTAAATATATCTGCGGCTTGGAGTTAACATTTTGGGCATGCAAAAATAGAAGTCCAGTGCAACAGCCTATAAGACAGAAAAGTAATCTTTCTTCTATTCTATAGCCCTATCCCAGTGGGGGTTTTTTTTGTGGGACTACTCAGATAAGCCGTTAAAATATCAAGCCTTTAAAACATCAAGTTAATAATTCTCCCATGAAGATGCTGATTAAAATTCATTCTTAAAATGAGAAAAGCAGCAACTTTCACAAAATCGACCTTGCTTATTTAGATCAAACAAAGTAGTATTTAAATCAGGAAAATTATTATCATCCTTCTCCTGATTTTTGCCTCAAAGCAGATGGTAATTTAACTCTGATAAAGTCTAACAGTTCTTTAGTGCTAGTAGAAAAAAAATGCATCAATTGGATTATAAAGGAAGACAGCAAGTATCTGGCTTACTTCAAAATGAAGATACATGAAAATAATTAATTTTTAAATTGTGTTTAAGAACTAAGATAAACATTTACCAGTTTCCTTCCCAGTACAAACCACTGTATTTTTTTTTTTTAGTAGAATTTTATTTTGGAGTGCTTTATATTGATACTGGGGGAAAACAAATTGCCCATGTAACAATTCTCTGGTAACGGGCTATTTTGGTAGAGACCTCGTTTGCACAAGTAATCCTGTTCTTAGAGGTAATGCCTGCGATTTCAATGGTCCTTGCTCTTTTTTCTGGGAATCGCCGATTGTGTTGACAACCTTCCTTTAATTGTACTTGTAATAAGCTATTTTCCCTTTTTTTTATTTCTCCGCCACGCTTTCTCGCTTTGCACTGTGATTGCATGCCATCTGCCGGTTTAACCCATGATGATGGCTTGCCGCTCTTGATATTCACCATGCCAAAAATACCACTTCTCTTACCATAATGCTGCACCCTCCTGTTCATTGCTTCCATGGTTCCCCTCCTGAAAGTACCCATGATGCACACGGTTCGGCACCACCGCCCAAAAAGCGTCCCCCCCCCCCCCCCCCAGCCACAGCAAATCAGGTTTGCTCCTTTTAAAGCTTTCTTTCACAAGATCCCGAACTCTAAATGAGTGCTGAGATTTTTATTTTAATTTTTTTTTTAACAAAAAAAATTCTCCCGGAGAATTTTTTTTTTCCTGTGTTTACCCCATCAAATTTTACTTTTATTTTTA